GCATATAGCAAAAAATTAAAGTAAAAAAAATATCCAAAATATCTATGTTGCTCGGACTCTCCAAAAATATCACAAGGCACGTGTCAGATCCTCCAAAAGTAGCACATTTTTGGAGGATCTGACACGGGTGCGGCGGCATTTTGGAAAGCCCGGGCAACTTAGCAAAATATGAATAATGAAAGGAAAAGGAAAGAAAATGAAAAGTCTAATAATACAAGACACATTGCAAATTCATCAATGTTTTGCACCCGTTTCTCCATTTCCTTGGTCACGGAAAACAGGTCAAACTTGACATCTGTCTTCTGAATATATAACGCAAAGGCTTGCAAGTTGCGGATATTAGTCATCATCAATTCCTGAACCCCAGGATGTTGATCTACAGTAGTACAAGAATTAGAGCCTCACAATTATAGCATTACTGAAAGATTGAAGTGGTTTTACGTAACCCGGAATGAAGGCTCCTCTACCCCTTCTACACAGTCTACTGCTCATTGAATCATTTCCTAGGGATTGGTGAAGAGAAACTTATATTTAGGCGTGCGTACATGTCAAGCTGTGTAGAAGATTATTGCTCAACAGACAAGGATGCTACAACAGTAATATTGCCTTACTTCATGTAACATAATCAGTAACTAGTTTAGAGCTTTTGACAGTTCATTACAGAAGTGCACTAAAATTTGGAGAGTTTCTATCTGGAGATACAAGCATACCTTCAAAGGAAGCTTAGTAATTACCCCTGTGAAATGTAAAAGAAAATGAAACGCAGTATGCCAGAATACCACGTAGTCTTTTTGGAGCCATTGTATTGTTGTACATCTGATATCTGATATACATTCACCATGGTTCTGTTGCACAGAGTTACAGCTGATTCAGGCACGTACTATTCATTGAATCAATTCTTTTCTTGTGATCCATGTGTAACGTCAAAGAATCCGCAAATACATGGTACTGTTAAAGAACTGACATGTTCATTTTACTTCAAAACATTGGTAAAGGTTGCATCTTGGAGTCCCAATATGATGCTAACAATGGAGAAGAATCACAAAGAAATTAAGAGACCATTTCATTGAAGTCCCAATCTGATGCTAACAATGGAGAAGAATCACAGAGAAATTAAGAGACCATTTCATTGAAGGGTGGCCCATTATCCACATACTTCAGAACCTTGGCCACTGGCCTTGATGGTTTCTCGGTAATTAAAACAAAAACAAAAAAGATAAGACTGTAATTCATGCTGACATGCAGAATCAAAAAGTTGCTAAATCCATCAGTAAATCTCGCACGTAGAGACACAAAATATAATATAATGCTAGCAAGACACACCAGTAAAGAAAAGAAAATCCAATATTATTGCAAATAGTTTATGCTACATTATAGTAGTATCCCCTAATTCATTCTGCAAATTGAACTTTGTCAGCAACTGCTGCTTGACATTTCTCTAACTTTTTGCGGAGCTCTTCCCTAATAGATGTTCCATATATTCCAGTGGGATATCCTCTGGCGGAGTCAACACTAGCCGCTACTATTGAGTTGAGTGCCAGCAGTTTACAGGCTAGCGACCTAAAGGCAGGAGGTGGAGGTTTAGTCTGAATTATTTCACTTTGCTCAATACAAGCTCCTGCACCATAAAATTGTCCAGAACTAATCTTCGTTTTGGCACCAAGAAGCAGGACATCAGAAACACACATGTTTGACAGGGACGAGAGACCACCAGCAGTTGCCATAAGTTTAGCAGCAACTGCATTCCCAACAAGAGCAGAGAGATTGGGAGCAATATATCCCATTCGACTTGTGACAAAATGCACAAGCTTTTCCTTTGCTGAATGAAGAGCAAGGGCTCTATCCCATGCTTCTATTGCCTTTCCAAGTCGCCAGCAAGAGAAAACCGTGATGATAGCTGAGGGTAGCAGTCCTTCCAAGTCGGCAGCAAGACTAGTCAGATCCCTCTCGTGGCCAATTTTTTTAATAACCCGGGCATAATCAATTGGGTGATAAACAAATGACTCTAACTCAGGAACTTTCAATTGATACTTGTCGCGTATGAAATTGTGGATTAAAACAATTTCATTCTCAATGTCAACTGATAATATATTACAGTCTATTATCAACTGCTGATCGTATTCTGGATCATCTACACCGCCTGATTTATGTTTGTCGTCAGACTCAATCAGGGCATATTCAACTTTCTGCATCGTCTCAATGTAGCGACGTGATTTTCGCAGCTTGAAAAAGTTATCTAGATCATCATAATTAAGCGCCGAACGCAGCAGATTCTTTTCATTATCGGACAATCCGTCAAGATCGTCCAGAAAAGAGGCATCACGAGTTGCCATCGTTTGGGGATGAAGTTAGGGTTTCGACTCTGGAGAAGAGACAAAAACAGAATAAGCGTTGACAAGTTTATTGTCCCAAGGAACTTTCGATATATAGGAAACATTTGTGTGATCCTAATCCTAATGTAATTGAAAAACGGAAAAGTAAATTATAAAAACATGCCTAGTCCTATACAAAAAAGGTGTACCAAAGTGGTATGTGCTCACTCAACTTTTAATTTAATGTAACTAAAGCAATTAAATTCATTTATATGATATAAACATTACTCAATTTACTTAAATATTAGGAAGGATACATAAAAAGTTATTTATACATTTTATATAACTAGTTTCTATAGTATAGATAAAAATAATCTTAAATAATAAAAAAAATAAGATAGAGTTCCTTCAATTGAAAGATGTTTATCAAGGATGCTTTTGAAGAATTGGAATCAATAATTAGAAAGTAAACATTAAATATGCCTAAAGGATGATTTTAGAACAAATCAATGGACTTCCCGAAGATACGTATGTTAGGATTAAGAGTGTTCATGGTTCGGTTTGGATCGATTTTTTCCTAAAAAGAAACCAAACCAAGTAAGTCGGTTTTTCAAATATTAGAACCAAACCAAACCAATTAAGTCGGTTTTTTCTCGATTCGGTTTATGTTGGATTTTGCGATTTTTCGGTTTGTTCGGTTATTTGTTAGTTTTTTCTTAAATATAAGACATATACTACCAAACACATATTCCGGCGACAACATTTTCAACATTACACTATCAAATCAATTGCCCTTTGAGAAAT